CAACCCCACCATACGCAGCGCCGAGCAGATCCTCCCCTTTATCAGACGGCTACTTGACACTACAGGTGGCAATGGACGTTACCGCGGCCATATTGCCGAAACTGGAAGGACACTTCATCTATTTAAGTGTCACCAAACAAGTCCACTCGACTCTATTACCTATGACGTTATTTTCTATCGCAGTACGCTTTCTATAGACCGCTGGTTGGCACAGCGAGCAAGATGCTCTCGCTTTCTTAATTTGAAAAGCGCCTGGAGAGGGGATGTGGAAGGGAGATGAGGCGGTTTCGTCTGGAACGAGGAAGTGAAGACAAGGCTTCGTTTTCACAAGCAATGGAGAAAGACTGGAAGAATGTTTTACATTACGACTTTGTATGATGCGCGGTGTTGCTCTTTATGACGTGTTTTGTGGAAGACTGGGTATCGCACTGGACGCAAAACAGGTGTTTGTCTCGTTTTCTTTTTCTCTTCTCCCCTTTCGCCTGCTTTTTTTGATGTTTACTCTGTTGTGTGTTTCACGACGTTTTTGGATTCCTCACTTCTTTTGTCTTCGCAAAGCACTCTGTTCTCTCCCCTCACTCTTGTGCTATATTCCCCTTCACAAAAGTGCAATGGGGCCAAGCAAGCGACACTGCCAAGTCTGGTGAGGATTTGGCCCCTGGGGACGGGACTTTGGAAGCAGAAAGGAAGAAGAAGAATTGCTGTTTGGGCGGTGATTTTATGAACAACAAAAAAAGGGAATCGGGATACATTAAAAGTTGTTTCCTTTGGTGCTTTTGTCTTTTCCTGTTTCCCCTTTTTTTCTATCAGGAACGGTCATAGAGAGAGAGACAAAGAGAGATCTACTTAGGCAAAATGGAGCTATTTGTGCTGATACGGGACAACAAAATTCGAAGAAAGATTCGTCTTGAAAAGAATAAGAGAAATGGCTGTTAACATAATGTGTGTGTGTAGGTATGTGTGCATGTATGTCCGCGTGTAACAAGCAAGGTAGCCCGTGCTATTCTTGTGATGGCCTGGGATGAGTCGAGATGGATGCCTCGGCTAGATCGCACGGCTGGATCCGTACGTGGTATTCTCGCACATGCTTGTGTACAAGGTTGAACCGCCGTCCCTGTCCCCCCGTCTTGCTTGACTTTGACTATCCCTGCCCTGTTGAGGCGGATGGCCAAAGGTTCCTCATGTATGTGCGACACTGCACCCATGCACGTCAATTCGTCTTACTATTCGCTAAAGTGAGCCAGAGCCTCAATGTCCGTGTCAAGGATGATTGATTGATGATCACAAAGGCGGGCGACGACGCCAGAATAGGCAGGAATATAGCATCATATAGATCGTCTATAGATTATGTAGATGCCTATGGATCGAACAGCTGGCTACCTAATGCGCCACATGCACAAACTTTGTCATAAAGGCAGGTGAGTATAGAATCAAGGACCAAGTGATTAAGCAACCAACTCCCGAAAATGCTCGACCAACAGAGGAAAGCGAAAAGAAGCCCCAAAACACCAAGAGCAAAGGCGCATTGCACACAGAAGGAAAAAAAAAAGCCCTCACATCCATCCGCACACGCCTTCTCTTAACAAGCAATCAAGCAACAATAGCTCAGCTCGCCCCCCTTTCCCCCCCAAGGCCCACGGTGATCATGGCCCCAGAAACAAAGGTGAGAGAGCCAAAGGACATCATCATACTGTACTCGTGGGGCGCGCTGCTGCGCGGTCAGACTTTCGCTGGCCTAGCAAGACAACTCCCTCCCCATTCCCACCCCCGCCCGGCCTACGATATCTCCACGTCCTCGTCATCGTCATCGGACTCGACGATCTGCATCTGGGTGCTGCTGCTGATGCTCTCTTTACGAGTGCCATGACCCGTGCCATCGCCGTACCGGCCCGATACGCTCCCCCACTCGAGCTCGTCGCCCGCTACCACTCGGCCTTCCATGTCGATCTCCTGCGAGAGTTCGACGAGGGCGTTGCGGGGGAGCCGGAGGAAGCCCTGGGTCCGAACGATGCGGCCCCAGTGCGTCATGCAAAACGTCGCCGCCCTCTTGCGAAGCCATTCCTCGCTCGCCAGCCCCGCGCAGTACCAGATGACGCAGGCATGCTCGACGTCCAGCTCCTTGGCCAGGCGGTTCACGCACAGCAGGCGAAGGTGCGGGATGTTGTAGATGTTGGACATGACCAAGAGCCCAGCCACGTCAGAGAGATCCGTGGTAGCGTCGCTGTCCGCCTCCGTCGTGCCGTGGATATTGTCGGTGTAGAGGTACAGGAGGAACGCCTTGACGACCGAGTATGGCTCAGGGATGTGCATCTTCTTGGTGTGGAACTCCGCCATCTGGGCGTTGTACAACCGCGCAAAGTGCGGCCAGCGCGCTTGCAGGATCAACTTGTGAACGTGGATGGGCATCGAGGTCGGCGCATCGGCAGAGAGCCAGCTCTGGTCTCGGTTCGCATCGTCGGCTCGAATCAGCCCGGAGCTGAGCGTCTCATCGCTGTCGGCATCGTCTGCAAGAGCCGTGATGATAAAGTCCGTGCCGCTTCCCGTCTCTGGAGGTTGGTTGAACAGTTTGGCAAGGTCCGCGCCCAAACCTTTCGAAGGCTGGTCAGAAAGCCTGGTGGTGAAGGACGGTCTGGATTGGGCCAGCGTCTCTGGTGCGAGGTTGTTTCCAAGGAACCCATATCGTCGGAGGTCGACTTCCATGATGTCACTACACATCGCCAAGGTCAGTCATGAAGCGTCGCGACCACAAGCATAGCTGTCTCATCCTTACCTCAGATATTCCTCGTAGCCATTCGGTCCCAGATCGGTTGCGGCAGGATCAACTGGGCAGCCCAGGAGCCACGCCTTGGTTCCGTCCTCATTCATAGTGCAGTAGTGCCACCTATATCCCGTCTTGTAGATCTCACGGCCGTCTGCCAATTTCTGCCACCTCAGGGTGCTGAGGTCCAAGGCCGACAAGGAGCATTCTCGGTGCGTGATGGTCGCCGCGGGTGTCACAAAGTCCAGCAGGGTACCCGAAGAGTACGTGTGGAAATGGATGCCGGAGCCCTGGGAGGGCACAGTCGGGCCAGAGACGAACTTGAGGGCAGAGATGGTTCCCGGCGCCATGGGCGCATAGGACTTGACTTGGAAAGATGGAGGATTCACTTGAGCCGTCCTTGAGTTAGCAGCATAGCCAGAGGTGCCGACAACGGGATTGGGCGCCATTGTGTAAGGCGGCCTGGGAGAACTGCTGGTTCTGTGAGCGGCCGAATGGCGATCCACGACGCCAAAATGAGGCCGAGAGTCGAACTCTGGACTTCCCTTGAGGTCAAGCCACCACAAATCACTGATCTTGTCCATGTCTTCACTCAGGCCACCAAAGACCCAAACGCGATCGCCCCAGATATAGGCAGAGTGATCGAAGCGGCCGACAAAGCGCCATGCCTTGGACCACGTGAACGTCTTGAGATCAAGGTAGCAGATGTCGTCCAACACATAGTTGTTCTGGCCAGTGATGCCACCAATGATGAACAGCTTATCTTCGTGAAGCACCGCGGCGTGTCTTGCTCTGCCCTTGGGAATCGGGCCAGATACCAGAGGCTGTGTCCAATGCGCAGTCTTCAAGTCGAATATGATGAGGTCGGACAGGTAGGTTCGATGCTCGTTCTCGCCGCCAAAGACTAGTAATTTGTCGCCTTTGTACAGGGTCGCCGTGTGGCCTATAATACGAGATATGCGAATTAGTGACTGCTCTTGTTGACAGCGTAAACGGCAAGATGGCAGGTGGAATGAGACATACCCATGCGCACTCCCGGGATATCACCATAGTTATCGACCAGGCTCCATTGGTGACTCGTCAGGTCCAAGCGTAGGACATGGTTGTACACTTCGTCCGTGTACTGGTCGAAGCCACCAAAAGCGTAAATCTGATTGTTGCCGCAATAGGTCACTGAGGCATTGACGAGGCACGCAGGCCGCTGTCCTAGCGTGCGTGTCACTTTCGGGCGATAGCCATCAGCCAACGGACGGGCCTTGAGGGGCGAGTTGGGCATGATGTAGGTATTGTTCGTGGACGAGGCCGAGGCCGAGGCCGGTGCTTGCGCGTTACTCAGGGTTTCCGACGAGGTCTGGCTGGTCATGCCGGGCTGCGGCGTCCCACCAGCATGGGTTGTTGGGGTCTGACCAAAGAGGCTGACGGACGACGAGGCTGGGCCGGGGGTCGACGGTTGCGCCATGATGGAGTTTGGCCGCGTCACAAGCTCAGGACCATCTCAAGCGGGAACCTTTTCGTGTAAAGTATGCGCAAACGCAAAGCGAGCGTGGCTTGTTGGTAGCTGAAAAGGCAAAAGGAGGAGGCTTCGAGTCCAAGAACGGCGACGACAACAAGTAAACAGAAAGCGAAGGACGTCGATGGAACCAGACAGCAGCTGGCTTCAGCACGCGCCAACGGTGACGAGACTCGGCAGTGGGTTCAAGCGGAGGATGATGTAGGTTAAGCGTTTCAACGGCGCATGTGAGATGAGGGTCGCAGATTTGCGGAGCAGAGACGGAAGAAGTTCGTGTTGATGCCCACACCGACTGGGTACGTACCTCTTGAATTTTTAAATTTTTTTTTTTTACCTTTGACTTCCGTCCTAACGTCTAGCCGCGCCACGCCTAGCCAGACGCGGTTAGCCGCGCGGCGGTTATTGGGCTGTCACAGCGGTTGGATCTTTCGGAACAGGAGTAAATCCGATCTGCGGCGTTGCCCGGACAACAGAAGCTGCAAGCTAAGTAAATAAGATTCGCATATATACCATCGGCCGCGATCTTCACCGTTTCTGCAGTCCTACATACACGCACGCACACGCACACACATATCACATCGCTACCTCTACTGCTCACAACTGCTCTACTGCTCTCAATCTTACGAATGCTCACAGCCTTACTGCAACTCACAACTTCATTACTGCGCACTCAATATCCTCTGTTCACCAGCATATGATCATTTGATATATCATACGAATATCAAACACACAATGTCTACCGCGGCAGTCTCAACTCCCGTCAAGACGCCCAAGGGCCTCGCGGCAGAGGGACGGATTCCGCTCACTCCTTCGCCAATCAAGGCACTCAATTTCAAGACCAAGAAGCCCTCGCTTCGACAGAAAACGTCCAAGACGACTGTCAACCAGGGCGGTGACCGCTTCATTCCCAACCGGGCTGCCAGTTCCGCCATTGCCAACACAGGATCAAGCAAGGCCAACATCCCGGACAAGAAGAAGAAGAAGCGATCCAATCCAGGCATCTCAGAAGGATCAATGGAAGCCGCCCAGAATGAAGACGCCTCTACTGCTTTTGAGGGCTTGAGCATCCTCGATGACGATGAGGACGACGGCTACTCTCGCCCCTCGCCAAATACCGTGGCCTACCAGGACTCACTTGCCGATGTCTGCGGCGTGAGCCTCAAGACTCGCATTCTGGAATTCAAGCCTGCTCCTCCCGAGTCATCCAAGCCCGTGGACTTGCGCCAGCAGTACAACAGACCCCTGCGAACTGCCGCCTCCGGTCAGGCTCGCCGACGCATTGCCACCGCTCCTGAGCGTGTCTTGGATGCACCTGGTCTGATTGATGACTATTATCTCAACTTGCTGGACTGGAGCTCCGGCAACCAAGTCGCCATCGGTCTGGAGCGCAGCGTCTACGTCTGGTCCGCAGATGAGGGCAGCGTCAACTGCCTCATGGAGACGTCTCCCGACACCTACGTCAGCAGCGTCAAGTGGTCTGAGGATGGTGCCTACGTCGGCATTGGCCTTGGCACGGGCGAAGTCCAGATCTGGGACGTGGCCGAGAGCCAGAAGATTCGGAGCATGTTCGGACACGACACCCGTGTTGGCGTCATGGGCTGGAGCAAGCATCTCCTTTCCACCGGCTCCCGAAGCGGCCTTGTCTTCAACCACGATGTCCGCATTGCCAAGCACAAGATTGCCGAGCTCGTCTCCCACACCTCTGAGGTCTGCGGCCTTGAGTGGCGGGCTGACGGCGCCCAGCTTGCCACGGGCGGCAACGACAACCTGGTCTCCATCTGGGACGCCCGCTCTCTGACGGTGCCCAAGTTCACCAAGGCCAACCACAAGGCGGCTGTCAAGGCGCTTGCCTGGTGCCCATGGAACACAAACCTGCTCGCCACTGGCGGCGGCTCCTACGATCGTCACATCCACTTCTGGAATTCAACCACCGGTGCTCGCGTCAACAGCATCGATACCGGCTCCCAAGTTACTTCTCTGCGCTGGAGCCCTCACCACCGCGAGATTGTGAGCTCGAGCGGATTCCCAGACAACACTCTCAGCGTCTGGAGCTATCCCACGCTGGTCCGCAACATTGAATTTCCTGCTCACGAGAGCCGTGTCCTGCACAGCTGCCTCAGCCCCGACGGACAGATGCTTGCCACTGCCGCCGCTGACGAATCCTTGAAGTTCTGGAAAATCTTCGAGAAGAGGGCGGGAACCAGCGCTGCAGCCTCAGCCGCCTCTAGAAAGGCCGACATGGCAAAACACATGACGATTCGCTAGATGGCACCTCATTGGCGGACTTCAAGTCATCAAAAACACCAAGGGTAGAACCCCATCAACGGCATCTACTCTTTCTTTTTCTCAGCGAAAATTGCTTTGGAACCGGCGTTGGGGAAACAGACACGTGGATCGAAAGCGCTTCTCCACGGGGAGACACATGGGAATGGGTCAACCATCTGACACGAGCTATGATTGGGATGTCTGAGACGAACACGACAAAGAAATACAAGAATGGGTTATGTATATTGCTTGATGTAACAGGTCCTAGTTGCTGCATACTAGGGGAGGGGGAATTGTCAGCGAATTTTGATTTGGTGGAAAAGGGACAACGGGCGTTGGAGGCGTTACGGGTGGTTTTGGTTTGACGTCTTTGGGAGGTTGGGTCTAGATAGCCGGCAATAAAATGTTTGCCTTAATATGTGTTCTTGCCATCCCATTGCTTTGTAATGCAGCTCACGTTCATATTGCTACATCAGTTGTGAAGCGTTGGTACATGTGGTAATGAAAAGGCATTCCTTATACAGTGAGGCTCAATTGATTCCGAGCATTTACACGGCAATCGTGTAGAAAAACTGCTCGTAATTATGTGAGAGTCACTCCAGCACATCTCACCCAGATCATGGATCAAATATCATGAGCCTCTACAGGCGGCCATTTTTGGTGTTCAATTGCCAGCTCCAGCGCTGCCGCTCGCTAACGCACCGCTAGAGCTGCCGCTGGTGGGCGGATCCCTCAGCCGCTGGGCTGGGCGATGACTAAGCGGCCGAGCCCTCTAGAAGTGCACATCTACCGGGCGCTGCCAACTCTGACCATTGCATACCTTTTGCAGCTGGACCGACATACGCCAAAACGGTTACCTAAACTCGCCCATCGTTGAACGCTGCACCAAGGCGCGCAACCCGGAATCTCACTGTCGAGTCTACGCATTGCTCTGCTCGAGCTTTCACTACTATCAGTGCCTACTGCAGGACTTTGTCTTCTCTAACTTTTTCTTTTCCCTTTCCGTCCTGCCCAAGCGGCTGCGGCGACAGTCACTGGTACCAGTCAAAGTCCTCGCTACCAACTTGGTTGCCTGCGAGAGGCGGCTTACCCACCGACTTGTGTACGTCTGTCGACACAACGCCTGCCTTGTGATAGGCGGCGCGCTCGTTCGATCACTCGATAGAGGAGAAGAAGGAGAAAAACAGAGAAGCAAGAAAGAAAGAAAAGCAAATAGGAGAGACACCTGAGCCGCTGGGACGATTCAATAAGCAAACGCCACATCCGTTCCCTCTCTTCGACAGTCGGTTGCTGGAGACCTCGTCTGCCGCTACCTGGCTACGGTGCGATATCTCCCTGCCCGCTGACCTTGCGAGGCTGGTCAAAGGCATCACCAGCCCTTGATTTCTTGCGTGTCTCGGATCTCTGTTGCGGCATCACAAAGGCTGCAAAGCAACACGGAGAAAAGCACCCAGCAGCAATCCCGATCGACGTCGGTGTAGGGCCGGACCGGTGTTGCCCACCATGTCGAACTCAGCCGTGGGAAACGTCTACCAAACGATCATCGAGGAGGTGATCAATAGCTCGCGAGTCGATTTCGAAGAGAGCGGCGTTGAAGAGGCCGTGCTGGAGGAGCTGCGATTGGTAAGTCATGCGATTGTCCCCGACTTTTGCGGCTGCCCTTTTCATCACCCGTCATCGTCACGATCCATCAAAGAAGCACCCCAAGCGACACCCGCATCTCGCTGGCAGCATCCCCGACGAAAACCCAAAGAAGAAAAGACAAAAGATCCCGCCATTCTCTGCCCGCGACGGCGACATGCTCTGCGCAACGCCTGGCAAACCGCCTGGGAGGGGAAGCAGAAACCTGGGGTGGAGAGGAGTGGCGGGTTGGGATCGGGGGGATCGGGGGGGCGACACAGCACTATTTGGGGCCCTTTTTAAGTCCAGAGGCACCCCCTGGCCGCGCCAGCGGGCGGCGAGTCCAGTGACTCCAGGCAGGACAGCGGGCGGCGCCGTCTGATTGGGCCGCCAATAGCCAGGGCACCTCTTCCCTTGGTCCTCTTTTTGTCCCTCATCACGTGTGACCAAGCTCAACACCGCTCACCACCCAGTTGCTCACTCATTCAGTCGATCGTCTATATACTGACTCGGTTCATTAGGGATGGCAGCAGAAGCTCTCTCAGCTCGATGTGGCTCGCTTTCCATGGGATCCCAAGCCGGAACCTGCCCCAGCAGCCACATCTGCACCCCCTCCTAACAACAACAACAACAACAACAATAACAATAACAACAACAACAACAGCAACAATACAGCCACGCCTGTCCAGACACAAGCTCAATTCTCTACGCCGCTGTCACTGCCGACGGCGAGCCCTCCCGGGGGCCTGCCGCAAAATGGCATCAAGCAGGAGCCGTACGTGAAGACTGAGCCTGGCATCAAGCAGGAGCCCGGCACGCAGCAGCCCGGCATGCCCTACCCAAACTACAACAGCATGGAGAACAAGAACAGCGTTGCCGCCAACAGGGCCGCCCAGCAGCTCCAGGCTCAATACGGTGTGCGAGCAGCAGGCTCCATCAACGCGATACAGGATCGCATGGGCCAGCAGCCTCAGATGCAGTCACAGCAGCAGGGACAGGCTTCGGCACCTGTGCTGCCGCAGCAGCAGCCTCACTCATCGGAGCAGCAGCAGCAGCAGCCCTTGGGCAACGCTCAGGTTGACGGTGCTGGGGATGCCATGGTGGACGACTCTGATGAGGATGATGCGCAGGAAAGCTTCGAAGGCGTTCTTCTACGGCATGGCGTCAACGGCAAGCCCGAAGAGCTCGGCAGAGTTGACATTGATCGCATCCTCCACGAGCAGATGGCTGCCAAGGCCAAAGCCATGGAGGGAGGCGGCTTGATGCTGTCGCTGAAAGAGGCCACGAAGCACCAGGCCAAATCAAGCGCTGCCCAGAAGCTGAGAAACAAAGGAAAGGCTCGCCGCGGCGTGGGCGCCTTTGATGGCGGAGATGATGACGAGGACATTGATGAGGACGCCATCAACTCTGATCTGGACGACCCCGATGAGGATCGGGATGATGACGAGGTTGATGACGAAGGCCTCGGTCACATCATGCTGTGCATGTATGACAAGGTGCAGCGCGTCAAGAACAAGTGGTGAGTGCAAAGCCCCCCCCCCCCCCCCCCCCCCCCCCCCGAAGCTTACTTGAAGAAGTCCATCTCTGTCATATGTCCCTTTTCTTTTACTGACTTTGCTATAGGAAGTGCACTCTCAAGGACGGCGTCCTCACCGTCAACGGCAAAGAGTACGTTTTCAACAAAGCAACCGGCGAGTACGAATGGTAGTGAATCTACGCACGAGGGGAAGGGGGGCAAGATGAGCTTATCGGCGCTTGCTGTTCTGCGGAACATCTCTCATGAACTTGCACAAGTCACGGCGCTCGAGTTAGGCTTAGGCACTGGTTCGGGCTCGGCTCTCCGAGCCGTGATAATTCTTTCTTTTCTTCATTTTTCTTACTTTGGTGATATCAATACCTTTGGCAATTTCTCACCTATATCATCTTCAAATCGCTTGCCTTTTCGTCTTCTCAGAAAACAATAGGAGAATCAAAAATATTCAATGAAACTTGGGAAACAGAACCAAAGAAGAAAAAAACATGCATGGTCAAAGGGGGGCTTTTCTTATGAATATGGACATTCGACGTTTGTGATTTTCTTCGGCTCAAAATGGCAACTGGCAGCCTTTTTCTCTCATTTTGATTCCTTTCCAGAACAAGGCATAACGGGGCAGGGCTGGGCCTCAGAATGCGCTGCAGACATGTACCTATGTATACATCTTTCTGCTAGGCAGAGAAGAATGCAGCTTTGTACTATGACGGGAGAATCCAGGAAGTCAAGGGGCACAAATTTCGCACGTGCAAGTAAAGAGAGGCAATGTAGGAAACCGCCTCTTGTAAAGTCGTCACCCATCTTGACAGCTATTACAAAGTGGTACCTGGTAGGTAGTAGCACTCTGTACTCAGCATATCCGGCTCGTCATGGCTGAATTGGCTCCCGCCTCGGCGTTAAAACGAAGCACGACGAGCCGCTCCGGTTTTCTGGCCTGCCGAATTGAGATAGTATCTGGCTAACAGGCCATACTCAGACCGCCGACCACAGCTGGCCGTCCACACCATGCCTTTCCAGAGAATGACAGGGCGGAGGAACTTCTGGGCTGCGGCAAAAGGCCAATTGAGGCATTTACCAAAACGAGGGGGAGGGAGGGTCACCGGAAATCGTACGTACTATGGGCTTGGGTATCCGTAGATGACGGCCATATTCGAAAGGGAAATGGCTCGAGAAAACAATCGCTTGCCGCGGATCCGCTTCCGCGCGTCTGTGTCGCGTCGAGGACCTGAATCCTTTCGCTGTGGCCGACTCCTTCGCTGATACCGACCCCTTCGCTAATACCGAGTCGCCCACGCTGGCGATGGCGTGAAGACAAGAGCGATGGGAGAGTCAGGAGAAAAAGCCCCGCTTCTGAGCATGAAGATTTGGAGCTCCAAGCTGGCGCAGTTGAGGGCCTAGTCGGTAAGTGTCAGTCATGATGGGCACACCATTCCTTCGGACAGTTGAAGGGGCGCGGGGTTGGTTACCATCTTCATCTTACCTGACATACTCGCTAGGATCTCTGAGGCGGATGATGCTATTGGAGGATGCAGTCCAACCCAGTTGCAGACAACCATGCTCTTCGACTGGCTCTCTGTACGTAAGACTCCAGCTTACGATCCTGTGACTCCCAGAGCATTTACCGCAATTTCGAACCCCTACTCTCTCGACCCGACAGTCTGGTTCACCGAGCGGCGCTAGCGACTAGCGGGACGCCGCGCAGATATTTAGAACGACAGGGGATGAAGGAGTTGCCAGGTGGAACTGAATGGCTTCGTCTATTCCTTGTCGCGTTTGCGAGGTTGAATTTGGGCCTATCGCTCATGAGAAGATGTGATCTGCGTTCCACTAGCGCGTGAACGGTGCACCGGACCGCCATTAGGAGGCCACAGACAGACGCTGCAGTTTGACCAAGGGGGGAAGCCCATGATTCAGACAAAGGTTAGTAGACTGTTGGCAACGATAATGTTCTTACGCTTCGCCCATATCATGCCATTGTTGTAGAAACGTGCTCGGGATCGTGTACCAAATCGTGCTCTGTACTCCCTACGTAGCGTGGTAGAGATTGCTCACCACATTGCTGCGAAAAGCGGCTGTACTTCTCATGCAAGTGCGGACAAGTGGGACAGCCCAGCTCACCGAGGCGCTTGATAATGGCTGACTCTTCCCGTTCGCTTGTCGTCCTCTCAAGGTTCAACGAGTTCCGACTGTCAGACGATGGACGTCACATTGCTACCACGGATCTGTGGTTTCCCTTGGCATGGGCAGCCGGGTTGATTTGCCAAGACTGGATGTTGAGCGCCATCACTTGATGCGCTCCATGAGTTGCGGGTTTGCAGGCGCAACGGTAACTGTGGAGTTGCAGACGAGACCAAGAACACGAAGTGCACGAAACGGGAGAAGGGACGCAATCCCGGTTGATGCGCACCCACTCAGCACATCGCCGTCGCAACGAACGTCACCCTAATCTTGTCCCGCGCGGCAATAAAATCACCGACCGGTAACCAAACCGTCGGTAGGCGGTCATAATTGCCAGCATCATGCTCTCGCCGGTGATATCATGCTAAGAGAGGAGTGTCTCATTCCTCTTTGTTGTGCGACGATATGTGGTAGCTGGAGATGCTTGTATGAAGAGACCACTCAGCACCCACTCGCTTCCGCCGCGACAAGCAGCCGCGCTGTGGATGTAGATACAGGACAGGTGATACGGGGCGCGAAGTCCCCTGTAGAGAGTCGATTCTGCAACATTTAGTGCGGCGAATGAAACATCTCGACAGGGTTCAAGGATGCTTAACTGGCGGCAACCCGGCCAGAGGTACTGTATGTACTTGTATGCACGCGCCGGAACGGGGAGACTTCCAAGAAAGCCGACCGCTTCAAGGGTTCATACATCCACCATCCGCAGTCGGAGTTTTGAGCAAATCATCAATCTGGAAGTGGCGCAAGCCAGTGCGGGATGTGACCATAGTCGGCAGTTGATTGTATAGTCGTCCCAATACTGGCGTAGTGATCAGAAACACCATGATCACTTCCGATTCACTCCACAGGAAGACGCAGCAAAGACGTGGTGGGCAGGAGGCGGAGAAGTGACAGGTAATATACGGAGACAGGTCTGAGGTAAGAAGACAAACAAATGAAGGCCGAGGGAGCGTCATTCTGTTCGGCGAGGTCGTCGTCGAGATGGTGTGTTGTTGGTTCTTCAAGTTTATGCGTTTGGCCAAAGGATGCTAGCTCGGCCCTCCTATGGAGCATCCTGTGGCCCCCCTCCGTTGCGCGATACGACGTTGGGAGTTGCCAAAAGTTTTCCAAGAAGTCGACAAGAAATCAGAGAGAAAAGAAGTGACTTTCTGGAGCCCTTTCTCATAATCAGCCTTTTAACCCGGCGCGATTACTGCCACAGATGGTCGAGGGATGGGAGTAGCATGGCATGGGGCGGGTTGTCATGCGAATAGCCGATCCATGGTCAGGGGAACCCCAGCTAGACGTTGCGAGCGTCCCGGCGGCAGCGCTGCCTGCAATACCCTGGACAGAGCCTCATCAGTGAAAAGGCGATGATGCGAACATGTCATTGTTGAAGTTGCTGGGGAGCTGCGAAGATGACGAGCCGACTGAGCATGGTTGCTCAAGAATTCGAGAAGTCGGAAACTTACATGTATAGGTATATAAGGTATGTGGTAGCAGTGCTCCGGTAGGTATGCATTCCGGGCGTTGTTACGTCGTATCTCTTGACAAGCCCCGCCAGCACCACCTACGCAAAGGCCCAGCCATTCATGTGGACAAGTAGGTAGGTTTGGCTGTCATGTAGCTGTTGGTTCCGGGATATCAGGGCCTTGTTTGGGGTGGCGGAGTTCGCAAGGCTCGAATGGCCGTTGCAATGTCCTCGCGTGTTAGGACCTGAACGAATGTGTCGTGCGAAGTACTTGGGTAGTGCTTGTTGTACGTACGGGGAACGGCTGGGGCGCGGGGTTTCGAATAGCATCGTGTAACGCCCCATCGGCACCAGCGGCACCAGCGGCGATGCGGGAAGTTGAGGGTGAGAAGAAAGAAAATGCGAGGTGGAGGAGATGCGAAGGTTGAGAAGTTGAACCTCATGGCAGAATCGGAAGGGAAGGTGCATCCAGTTGGTGACGAGGTGAGACCGCTTACCTAGAGCGGGTAGTAGGTCTGGCAGTATCACCACAAGCAATCGTACCTACTGGGTAGTACATACCTTCCATAGTACCTAAGGTAGGAAGCAGTATCCATAAGGTATATCCAACACCCCTCGAGGCATGATAGTATGAGCTTTGCCCGCATTAATCTACATACCTTAGGTATGTTATGAAACGAGTACCTACCTAGGTACGTATGAAGCTTGGCCCGTTGCCCTTTGTATATGAGGAGTATCAGGCGTGTACAAAGCCTCTGGCAAAGCAATTGCAATCTGTACCATTATCTATGTAATAGACTGGCTTGGATTATGCCAGTGGTCTTACCGCCCAACCATGATGTGAAAAGCAATAAGAGTGCCTACAATGGAATACTTTCTGCCTACAATGAATGTTACGGGAAGGTACTACCTACGTAGGTAGGTAAGGTAGCAGGTACATGTACCAACTAAATTAAGTTCAATCTGCCATCAGATAGAATGAGCACCCGCACACTGGCTCAAAAATGGTGTTCATCAATGTCAACATGTCAAGAAAGTTACATTGGGACGCATATTGAGGCGTGGATATCGAGCATTGAGCTTTATCCCGTACCTAGGTCGACGCATGCAGGATGTATGCTGAACCGCGACATCAATCTCTCCGCCTGACGGCTTTCTGCAATCCTACCTTATGGCTGCCTGAGGGAGATCAAATGAGCCCGGAATGTACCGTCTTTACGCAGGGCTCCGGAAACCGTTAGTTGTGGATGGAAACGAAGACCTTTGTATGCGAGTAGGGAGGTTAGTACTGCCTAGGTAGGTAGGTATGTTCTACAATGAGGAAGGCCGCTGTCATGGGTGATCAGATCAGTGGCGATGGAACAGTGCCAGGGCATTGGGCCCTTGTGCAGCAGCTGATGTCAAGCCAGCATCGAAGGGGGTGTTACTTCTCACGGTCGTAGAATCGGCCACGTGAACCCTGGTGCCGTCGTTGTGCTGTGGTCCTTTTGATTAGTGCCTTGTCAACAAGAGACACGCAGTCACGTACTCCGTATCCTGACCGCCGGCAAGTTGACGTGTATACGGAGCTCGAGTCACCTGGGGGCCGGCTAGGCCACAGATGAGTGGTTTCAGAGGCCAATCCATCGTCGACTGTCTCTGCGTGATGCTCCAGGACTTGCTGTTGGTCGACTTACACTTCGGCCGTCTCAAGTGGGACTATTGGCGGGTCGCGCCGGGAC